AATTAAAGTATAGTTATGACTAGGTAATTATATGAATGTGCCTGATATGTATTATATGTGATGTGATATGTATTATATGTGATGTGATATGTATATGCTATATATATGTTATATGATGATGATTTATGTGTCTATATGAATATATGATATAATTTATGTGATATAATGAATGTGAAAATATGACAATGAGATATGAAAATATATGAAAAGATTATATGAGCTATGTGAAAGAATGATATAACAAGAAGTTATAAAAGCATATGTTTAAGAAAAGACATAAGAACAAGTTATAAGCCATGTGATATGTGAATTATATGAAAATGTTCTACGTGTAAGTGATCTACGTATCTATGTGAATATGTGAAATAATATAAATGATATTACCCATGTTATGCGTCATGAGAGCTAGAGGTATAGTTGGCATGCTAAGAGTCGAGGGTTCTACGTGGTCTTTTAGAACATATATGTGGTACTTCGGTACACTTATTTGGTCCATTGTATTATCTATATGGTTCTTAAGGAGTGGTCTTTCGGGATATATGTGTTCTATGTGGTCTTTCGGGACATTTCTATGTGGTCCTTCGGGACAAATTCTACGCGCCCCTAGTGGGAATTATACGAGCTGTGGTGACAACATATGTGCACAACCTCTATGTACTCACATACCTTAAGTTCTCACATGTGTTCATGGGCTAAAATAGAGATAACAATAAATGCCCTATATGTTATGTATATGTTTTTGGTAATATGAAGTAAAATATAGAACTTGATATGATAATATGTTTGTTTCCTTGTAAAGTGATATGTGCAATATATGTTGTGTATAAATGATAAGGATGGAATAATATGATAAGATGCTAAGAATGAATATGATGATATATGTTCATGTGTATTTGTTATATGAATGGATATATGCTTGTATATGATATGATAGTATTAATTATTCATACATTGTTATAAGTTAGAATTTAATTATATGTTTTATATGTCTCACTAAGTCTTCGACTTAGCGTGTGAGTGTTTCACACGTAGGTTTCAAGGAGATAGAGGAGCAAGACATGTCAGATTCTCATTCCTAAATATCATATCAGAAAAGCATTTTGAATTATATGTATTTTGTTTTATTGAAAGTAGTTGGCATGTAATTAAAGATTTAGATCAAGTGAGCTCTGATAGGTTTTGTAAAACCATATGTTTTATATAATAGAAATTATACTGTTTTATAATAAATGTCAAATGAAATTTTAGTCACGTTGTAAAAGTAAATGCTTTGAAAAGTCAATGTGACATCTCGGACTCGTATCCGGGTCAAGTACAGGCTAGGGGTGTTACATACAAAAGTTAAAACAATGGTAAAACATTCATTTATATGCTTGCAGAAATCTATGAAAATTAATCAAAAAGCAGTAAATGTAAAAGCAGTAGCATGCTTGCTGAAATTCATGAAAATTAATGAAAAACGGTAAAGGTAAAAGCAGTAGCACCCTACAATAAATCATTTCAAGTATTAATGAAAATTATGAAATAAACACAATAAATAAATTACCATAAAAGGGAATGATCAAGAAAGAATTTTTCACAAATTCATTCAAATATACTTACTGTAAGTGTAAAAGCAGTAGCACCCTAAAAAAATCATTAATAAACAATTTAAATGAAATAAACATAAGAAAAATAAAGCAAATCAAATATTTACCTTTAAAGGGAAGAATCAGTAGCTACAATAATATATTCTCCATCCCTTTCTTCTGGTTCAAAACCATATAATAAATTTCGAGTTGTTACAAAAATCTCAACATTTTTTAGGTAAAAGTTTGGCTCTCAACTTGTTCAAAATACGACCCCTCATGCTAAAGGAAGATTCAAAAGCAACTGAAGTAATTTGAATGATCAATATATCTCTCGCCAAGCGAGAAAGTATCGAATAAGAAGCATTTTGTGATTTCTAATACCCAAAATGTCAAACTCAACATCTTTATTACGGGGAACAAGAGGTAAACTAATGTAAAATCAACATATGATTTTTCAGTCCTTGAAGCAATTAAATTAGCATCAAAATTCTAAAAAGGCAAATAAAATAAAATAGTTAGAATTGTGAAAAAAATAATCAAATTAAAATAATTAATATTATAAAAAACTAATCCAAAATAGATCATATTTTTTTAAAAGTTTGAGGCCAATTGGAAGAACTTGACCCCCTTGTCTTTAGAGATGTGTTAATTTGGACAGAAAAAGAATTAAAAAGTGCAGATTTTGAATAATTTTATTTGCCAATAATGTGACCCGATCTGAATAAGATATGACTGAAGTCCATCCGAACTTAAATTAAACTGGTGTTTAACTATTTTGGACCTGAATTGACATCGATCCGAATTGAAATTAACCAAACCTGAACCCGAAGTGAATCTGATGTCAAATCAACCTGAAAATAATCCAAACTGAATCTGATATCAAATCAACCTGAAAATGATCCGAATTGATTTGACATGAACCTGACTTAATCTGAGTCCAACCATTAAAATGACCTGACACGACATGTATCCGATTTTACCTAACCTAACTGACAGGATCCGACTGAAACTTGTGATTACGTAATTTTACATCCCAGCTCATATCTATAATATTAATGGTGTTCAAACTCAAAACATAAAAAAAAATGACAATAAATCATTTACCGAGACTAGTGTTCTTGCAGTAATTGTAATTATATTAAGATGTGGTGAGCAATTTTGGGTTGGGGTGGAGATAACAATGGAGGCGGAAATTAACTGAGCGGATCCACGTGGATAGTGCAGAAGAACAAACGTGGAACAAAAAGGAGCCACTTGGATTTTCTCCTTCATTAATGGTTAGGGTTAATGCTACCAAACATTCTTCAACTATTATTTTCATTTTACATTCATTCTTAAACTTCAAAAGATTCTAATTGAATCCTTAATGTATCAATATATTATTAATCAAGTCCTTTCATCAATTTAAGCATAATATATTAGTTCGGATATGACACTAAGTACATTTAAATCACGTTAATATATGAATTTAACATAATAAAATGGCTAATATCAATAAATTTTGAGAGTATAATTTATTTTTTAAGATATTAAATTCAGATTTTTTATATAATAAGTGTTCACGTATTTTAAATTTAATATATTTATATTAAATACACCTTGTATCAGATTTAAACTTGTTGATGAGCTGATTGCAATATGATGAATTGTGACAATTTACTCTGATTATATTGGATGGAGAGTCGTGAAGTTTCTATGTGCTTAATAAGAGATGAAGGTGGATATTTAGAGGTTGATTTCTTAGGTTGCATAATCTTTTCATGAAACTTTTTTCCTCTTCCTATAATTTGAGTATATCGTTCTTTAAGTTCCACGTGTCATTTCAGATAAATGAGTTAGGAATTAGTGGTTGAAATGAATTTAAATAACATAAAGATATTATTGTCTTAATTCCACTTATTTGAAATTGAATTTATTAATAGATATTATGTCTATAAATTATCATGTACATATTATGTAAAGAATGAATGAAGTCTATGACGAAGAAATCGAGTTATATTTTACTCTCGATGTCTCTCTCGGAGACATTGATAACCGAAGCTTATATTTATTATCTTAGCTAATGATTATGTTAACGAAAGGACCTGATTGATGATATTGATCTTTTAAGGATTCAATTACAATGTTTAAAGCTTGGGATCAATCTGGAATCTTGACTATAGTTTGAGGATCTGTATATGAAATTAACACAAGTAATTAATAAAGGAAAGCCGTAGCCTTGAGAGCCTGAGCAGCTTAGATCAGCCGCCATAGATAGGATGTGTTAAAATATTATCCAAGGCTAGTCCAGTCAAAGCCACATACTTTGACCGGGAATTTCTTTTTCCACGGTCAAACTTTGCTTTTAGCTTCTCAGAAGAAGCATGGAGGAGCTCTGATTTGAAAATCGGATCGGATTTATCGGTTCAATCGGTTCAATCGGTTTAATTGAGAATCGTTGTTTAATCCGGTTTAATTTAAATCGGTTGAATCGTTACTAGTGAACTGATCAGAACCGCTGAACCGTTCGAACCGGATCAGTTGAAAATCAGAAAAAACCGGGAATTTTTTTTTTTTTTAAAAAAACCAAACAACGTCGTTTGTTAAACGAGTCAAGTCAAACTCGAGTATTGCTGAGCTCGACTCGAACTTGAAAACTTTAAAAGTAAGTTCAACTCAACTCAAACTCACAAGCTAAAAATTATCAAGTTCAACTCAAACTCGAAATATAATATTGAAACTTGAACTCAAAAAGGCTTGAACTCAAAAAAATTTAGAAGCTCGATTGAAGCCTAAAATTCGAGCTTGATTGAAGTGAAAGAATAGTTCACTCAATGCTCACCAAAAGGCTTCATGATTTTGAATGCCAAATTACATCTATTATTTATAGAAGTTAGTTGTGATGCTCTTCTATGTTTCTTAGCAATGTGAGATTGTTTTTAAAAAAAAATTAAACCAAACAATATCATTTTGTTATGATTTTTTTAACCCCAAATTTATTTTTTAATTATAGTTATATAATTATATTTATTATTTAATATATTTTACCTTAAATATTATGTTGTAGTTAATTTGAATCATTTTGTTTTATTTAATTTTATAGTTTTTAACTTATATATGTTATGACTTGCTTTGAATATGACTTGTGATATAAAAAAAATTTATTAAATATTTTTTGTATTTTTATTTAATTTTTAAAATAATTATGACGTCGTCCGATTCTTCTGATCGATCGGATCGATTCGATCGATTGAACCAATAAACCGGTAGCATGATCAGTTCGTTAACCAGTCCGGTTATGAAAACCATGCCGAGGAGAGACCTTATTTCAAGAACCCACCAATAGCCATTAGGCCACCATGAATAACCTTCTTCTTCTTCTTCAAAGTCCACCGCACTTGTATAAATCATTAACCAACACCCTTCTGTTTTCTCAAACCTCAACTCCCTTCTGTTTTTCATGGCAGCTTCCTCTCCTTTTATGAACATGGACAACGTTAACCAATCCACCACCGCCGCCACTTGGCTGGAACTTCAAGTCTCAAACTTCAAATCATTTGCTCCTTCTTCTTTACCAATCTCACAAGCTCTTGTTCCATCTTCTTCGCCTTTTAGCCCCACTGTTTTCCTGGACTCACCTGTTCTTTTCCCCACTTCTAATGTATGATTCTTAATCATTTCTAATTTAATTCACTATGAACTATATGAATAGCAATTAACTCTTGCTTTTTTTCCCCATAGATTTTTCCTTCTCCGAATATTACTGGGTCTTTTGCCGATCAACAAGGAACCAAGCCCAAGGCGTTTGATTTCTCTTTCCAAGTACTCGAACCACAGCCGAGGCCGCCGCCGCAGTCGACCAACATGGCTTCCATCGAGCAGCCGGCGTGGGATTTCGGTGAGTCCGTGAAGCAACAACAAACCGAGATGACCAATTCGGGTACCCAATACCATCAAACGTCTCAGTATGTGAACAACAGGAAGGTTGAAGACGGTTATAATTGGAGGAAATACGGGCAAAAGCTAGTGAAAGGGAGTGAAAATCCAAGGAGTTATTACAAGTGCACGTACCCGAACTGTCCCACGAAGAAGAAAGTGGAGAGATCTTTGGATGGACAGATAACCGAGATAGTTTATAAGGGTAGCCATAACCATCCCAAACCTCAATTGATGAGAGGTTCTCAGGCTTCATCGTCGAACTCGGCGGAGATATCGGATCAATCGGTCGGCTCCTTTCTGATGCAAGATGGTACACTATCGGGTTCCGTTGAAGAAGATGAGTTTGACCAAGCTTCACCTATAAGTAATACTAATGGTGATGACATCAATGAAAATGAACCGGATTCCAAAAGATGGTAAGCTTGGCCTACCAGAAAACAACAGAATTCTCACCGTTAATGTGTCTGCTCTTGATTATGTATGCTTCCTTTTGCAGGAAAGGTGAAAATGAGAATGAGGGCATTATAGGTTACGGTAGCAAGGCGGTGAAAGAGCCGAGAATAGTCGTGCAAACGACGAGTGATATCGACATTCTCGATGATGGTTATAGATGGAGGAAATATGGGCAGAAAGTAGTCAAGGGAAACCCCAATCCAAGGTAATTTCATTGCTCTAAACCTGTGTAGGTGATAGGTGGTTGAATACATTCAATTCAACTTCAGCTAAAGTTTTTGGGTTGTTGATTTTATGCAGGAGCTACTACAAGTGTACGACGATAGGTTGTCCGGTTAGGAAACACGTCGAACGAGCATCCCGTGATTTGAGAGCCGTGATAAATACTTACGAAGGGAAACACAACCATGATGTCCCGGCCGCACGTGGAAGGGCCTATGCGATGAATAGGCCTACTTCCACTGCAACCGCGAACAATGTTAATGCTCCCATGGCCATGCCTATAAGGCCTTCAGCTGTCCAAAGTCATCCTCTCAATATAATTTACCCCAACTCCGGATCTACCTGGGAAATACCGCAGCACAACAATGGTGGCTTCGGGTTCTCGAGATTGTCAAAGCCAATCGGCTCCTACATGAACCAAACACAATTCTCGGACGCGGTATTTGCTAAGGATGAACCCAGGGATGATTCATTTTTGGATGGATTCTTGTCCTGAAAAGGGAAACAACTTAACTGTAGGAATATGTTTATCAAATAGTTTTGCTTGTAATTTTAGGTATATCTATCGATATAGTTGCTTGATTCTGTAGGCTCTAGGACTCCAATACACAACACACAGAATCAGTGCATTTATTCATTTGTTGTTTTCAACTTTGTAGCAGATTGTAAGAGTAGAAAACAGAAAAACGAATTTTGGGTGTTCAATAAACTTCGAATTTGACAGGGTGAAATCTTCTTTCTATTATTTTCTTTCACATTTTCTGTTATGTGCTTCCATAGCAATCAATCCAACATACAATAAAGAGCAACGGGAAAAAGGTCTAGAATAATTGATCAGATGTATGATTGAGTAGACAATTTATAGCCCGAAATCAGGGCTGATATTGCCAGCAATAGGAAGGCAAAGAAAGATACACTGATCGCCGAAGCTAAGGAATCGGTAAAAATGTTGTCTTCCCCCAGTCTCATCCTGTTTGTCATCGGAATCGCCGCAGATACCGATGATATCAACAAGTATGCCACCACCTGCAAACTTCAAATGTTTCAAAATCCTTTCCATCTATTTATTTGTTACCTACTTGCACATGTACACATAGAACTAAATTGTAGTCACATTATAGTGTAACGGCTGTATCCTAATGACTTTGAAGGTTACTGCTACATCAAAAGTTCGTAATTGTATCTGCAATTTAAAAACATGGTTACTTTTAAGATATCACGTCGTAACGTCTGTCACCAATTCCGCATACGTAATTTAGTACTATGCGTGTAAACTACAATTATACAAAGAAACAAACATCGCAACTCAGTTTTTTTTAAAACAATCGTTTTGTATGATTAATACGATAATTCATACAAGACGAGAAACATGAGTCTCATTAAAAAAACCTCTCTACACCTAGTAGAGGAAAAAGAGTGCACCACGATCGTCAAAAGAACCGTCTATGTTACAATGAAACGCTGCTGCTATTGGAATCCCATGCTCTTTAGGAACATCGCAAATCAACTTAGGCTGCGTTTAGCATTGTTTTTGATAATTTAAGAACACTTTTGAGTTTTGATAGTAAAAGTATCACTAAATGAAGGGTTTTTGCCATAAAACAAATACTTTTCAGAAAGTAAGTTTTCAACTGCAATGACAACACTGAACTAATCCTACATGTAATCAACTCTACCGATGACCTTTTTTAATCATCAAATTTCGATCAAGGAAACGTTTGACTTAGTAGTTTAACGAAAACGAATGCATATCATATTCTATTTTTTTTTATTTAGCAACCAAACAGGAAGAGTTTTAATAATATATAAGTTGGTGAAAGCATTGGAAAAAGCAACCTGATCCCCAACGAAGTCAACCATGGCAGAGATACGTTGATCCAAAATCTGCATCGCGTTCCAAAGCGCATTCACGTGTCTCAACGCTTGTACACCCGTGTACAAAGTCGATAGAATTGCAATCGCCAACAAATACCTGCGGAAATATAATAAAGAATATCAATCCCGAAATCAAATTAAACCTTATTTTTTAAAACAATTTGTATCGAATTTAATATGATTGGATATGACCTGTATTCTTCGTAATTGTCAAAATTTTGCCAGTCACCGTGCTTGTTGCTAGCGGTGATTATAAAAGAGAGCAAAGAGAGGAAGAAAGCGAATCCTCTGGCGATCAAGGACACTTTCTTCAACAATTCGTCTCTCTTCCAACGCCTGGAAATGGAGGAGACGCCGGACCCAACTCCCGGAGTGGGGGTCTCCACTTCGGCAGCGGCCGTAGGCAATGACGCGTCGGTCTTGTGGGTTGGTTCGAGGAAAATCGTCATATGGGAACACAGTTTAGTAATCTGAGTCTGAGATTTTTAGTTACTGTCACCAAAACAGAAAACGGAAAAAACAGAAAGGGAGAAAAGCGGAGAGTTTTCGCGGAAAAAGAAAAATAAGAAACTATTATTATTTAAAGATTTTGTTTTTCCTTTTATTTTATTTATTTTTGCATTTGCTATGTACCTGTATTTTATTCCCATAACTAGAAATGGATCGAAATTTACCAGAAATAATAATGTTTATATTAAAAATATTAAATTTTTATATAATTTATGTATTTTTATATAGTTTATTAATAATTTAATATAAGTTTATACTTTATGAAATTTTTAATATAATTTTCTAAATATTTATATTTCTGAACATAAAATCATATATTCATTCATCTAAAATCAATCAATATGGATGAGTATATAATGCATGATACACACCGATATACACCACTAATGGCATATTTTAATATGCATTACTAAGATTTTCATATGATAAAATTCATAAATAGTCATCAAATTTTGTTAAAGTAATTTTATTTTTCATTGGATTTTTAAAAGTTACAAAATAAATATTAAACTTTAAATTTTATTAAAAAATCAATACCGAACATTAAATGTTGATAAGAGGGTGATGTAGCATATTAAATTAATAAAAAAATATCTTGTTTGATCTCTCAATTATAACTAAAATATCATTATATATATATATATATATTCAATATCTTAAAGTAATAATACTAAAATATATAAAATTCTGATTTTTTTTAAAAATATACTATAACAATTTATTTTTTAATATTTTAAAAATATAATTTAGTGAAATTTTTTAGTTCATCGAATACATCTAAACTTCAATAAATAATCTAAATAGTCCTTAACTATATTAACATATAAAAAAATTATATGATACAAACTCAATATCTATAATATAACAATAAAAATAATATTTATTTTATTTCTATCTATTTTGTTTTCAAATCAATGAATTTAATAAAATTATTTTAATTTAAATTATTAGTAAAATGAAATTTTAATTACAATTAAAGAATCAAATGAAAATTTTCTATTAATTTAACATGTCATATCACCTATTTAAATACATGTGATGATATTGTACTCATTTTGTAACAAAATCTAAAATTTAATATCCAGATGTTTTAAAAATTTAATATCTAAAAAATGATTTAATTTATTAATGATGATTTGTGAATTTTATCTTCTAAAATTAATGGTAAATATTAATAACAATATAAGCCATTCGCTGTAAAGTTTTCCCACTATATATACATATGTTTCAATTTAAAGTGTAATTTAGTACTGAAATTTTTTTAAATTAAATATCAAGATTTAATTTTTAGGTTTAAATTAATATTTAATTTTAAAGTTTCTATCAATTCAAATAAATTATTTATTATAAACATTAATTTAGATAAAAAAATTCAAGTTCGGATACTAATTTAGATCAATAAATTAAGTTTAAATATTTAGTTGAATAAAAAATAAATACAAAATTAAATCTTAAAAATAAATTTTAATATTTAATTAGACCAAAAAATTATTCAAATATTAAATTCATTAGTGAATCCAAGATAAGTTTAGGATAGACAAGTGTCCACCTTGAAATCTATATTTTCTTTCTTAAAATATGAATTTGATTATGTTTGTATTTATTTTGTTGATTAAAACTACACTGTGATTTTATTAATGTCCACTATATATAAAAATTGTGTTATTAATGTAATACTCAAAAATTTGATTAGTGGCCAAAATGAATAAATTAAAAGTTTGATGGCTAAAATATAAACTTTACAAAATTTAGAGACCAAAGTGTAATTATAAAAAGTTGTATAACTTGGTCATGTAAATGAATAGTTTACCCCAAAAAATGAAGTTTTCGTGGGTTTCAGATTTTTCATACGGAGTTTATGTTAAAAGTTATAAAGTGTGAAAGTTTGAGAAAAATGCAGATAATCATATCGAATCGAAAATTCAGAAATTTTTTTCTAGATGATAAAGCAAGGGAAAAAAATGTCTTTTCCATGCTTTAAAATGATAAGATTTAATGTGGATCATTGGATTTAAGTTGATTTTCATGTTGAATCTTGGCCATTGGATTAAAAAGGACAATATTATAATTTTGGAACTTTACAAGGGTAAAGTTGTAAACTACTAACTTCATGGTTTAATTTAAGCCCTTGGATAATAAATTTGATATTTGGCATGATTAAAGGTCATAATAATTACTTTGGACTAAAATAATTTTAAATTCAATTAGGTTATAAAAATCTAAAATGACTAAAATAAAAAAACAATAAATTGTCATAACTATAACTACCGTCACACCACATTATTTGATATTATCAATTTTTTCACTTCTCATACATCAAAACATTCCCACTAAACCCCTTTTTATACTAAAACCATCTCTCAAAATATCCGTTGGAACTCGTCATGCCATTGGATTTAAAAAAATTTGCCCGTTCGCCAACGGTTGAAAACTTCAAATTTTTGACCCGTTAGAACTCGTCACCCCGGTGTGACGAGTTCCGTGTCCATTAAAATAATATATTTTTATGATATTTTTTAAAATTCCAAAAAAATATTTTTTAATGGGACTCCTAAAAATATATTAAATATATTTAGCCCCAAAGACCCACTTCCCACAACCCATTAAAAAAATTATATCCCACGAAACTGTAACTTCGACGTGATGAATTCCAACTACATTGTAACTTTTGCCGTAAATCCTAAAATAAAAATGGAGTAGACGTATTGGGCTAAATAATCGACCTGCTATCTATATTTCACTAATTCTGTCTGCTACTTTCCTATTACAATATTTTAATGCATTAAAATGCGTTTGTTAAAAGAAATTGTTGTCGTAAACTATTATTATAACATTCAATATATATGAAAAACTATTATTTTTCTATTAGTTTGGAGTGGTTGTAAGGTAGTATTTGTTCAAAAAAATTAACCATTTAACGACGAACGCTCTAACACTCCTACAAACGACATGCTCAAATCCAAGACTTCTAAGGAAAACAATTATTTCATCATTAACTGAATTTGTTTGATTCATAAAACTATATGATTAAATTGATAAAAATATTATAGTTATTTTCAAATTTACTCCCTCATTAAATAAAATAAAATTATTAAGAGTTAATTGCATCATATGTCATCAAAGTATGACTCTCATTTTAAATTGATTATAAACTTTTAAATGTTCTAATTTTATCCCTAAACTATGACTTTCATTTTAAATTAATCCTCAAAGTTTTGGATATTTCAATTTTATCTCCAAACTTTCAATTTCATTTTAAGAAGAAAAATTTTCCTCTTAATGAGTATAACATATTTGATAATCTGATGTAAGTACAATGTAATATCTATTTAAATATAACTTTTTCAACCATTTGACATTGAACGCTCGTACTCTTGACATTTCTGATACTCAAACCCGGGATCTCAAGGAATAACAATTCTTTTACCACCAAGATCACTAGGTTCGTGTTTGAAACAACATGTTAATTTTTTTTGACTTGAAATAACATATTAATATTAAAATTTGTAACACCCCAATTTAGGGGCTAAAATTTTAGAAATTAGAAGTGATGAATTTAATTGGTATATTTGGAAGAAATTGAGGATTAAATTATAAAATTTCAAAGTTGGCAGACCATTTTAGGAGTACATAAAATTCAGTGACTAAACTCATAGTTTAACCATTTTTATTTTGGAGAGAATTATAAACCCCTATTTCTCGTATGTTTCTGTAGAATTATTCCCCATTTCCCTCCCCCGTTGACCCTCCTTTCCATTCCGATCTACTCACCGTCGACCACCGTTTGACGAACCGAAACCACCATCGTGTTCGTTATCGACCGAAGAACAAAACCCCTCAAACCTCTCGTCGTGAATTGGCGTCCTTTGTCGTAAATTTCAACCGAAAGTATCATCGGTTTTAACTCAATCTCCGTTGGTTTTTCGTCAATTCACATCGATCCGGCCACTCGTTTTCGACACCTCCCGTACCATTGTGTTCCTTGCATCGTTTCGAGTCCACCGGTGTCCTCCGTGTCTCCGTCGTCACCGGCGCGTAGAGGGGTGAGGAAGTCAAAGCTTTTGATGTTTCGGAATCGAGCTCTCCACTGTTCAAAAATTTGAAGCGAGCTTGGTAAGTGTCTCAAAATGCCTTAAAATATTTTTTAGAAATTTTTGGCAATTTTTCGGACACCGTAACACTGTTCACGCGCCCCATGCGCCACCCCCTGAGAGTGGGCTTCGTCTGGCAGTGAAAAAAAGAAAGAAAACCGGTTTGATAGATCTGACCCGACCCGATTGACCGACCCGACCCGTTGACCACCGTTGACCAGAACTTTGACCGGCGTTGACCGGCTATTGAACTATCGTTGACTTTTTCAGGGTATACCTATTATGACATTTTTTGACTTCCTGAGTCTGTTTTTGGGGTATGTTTTACCAAATTCGAATATGATAAGCTGTTTTTCACTGATTTATCATTCAATTCGATATGTTTTTCAGAATTAAGCCTCATTTTTTTATGAAATTTATATTGTTATGTATGTGAGGAATTATTGGAAGTTGAATTAAGGATCGAGGGCATTAGAATGAAAATTAATGGTCGATCAGTATTGCACGGAAATCGAGGTAATACTTTACTACTTTTTATGCTTTGTGGAAATGTTGATATTGGTAAATGCATGATTGAACATTTTTGTCACTTTTGAGGTTTTAATTAATTCATACACTCGATATGAATGCGGTAGAAATTCGATAACTGAATACGGCTCGGATGACTAATATAAGAAATTGAGGGATTGTTAGAAATAAATTACAAGTTCTGTGATTAGTGATAAAGGAATCAGCCCTGGATATGTAACTTATATTTTATATCATCAAAGGTTAAATGTTAAAGGTACTTAGAAGAGAAATTATGAGAATACCTCGGTTTGGTTAAATTACGAAAATACCCTTATGTTGTAAAATGACAAGAATGATCCTGGAAGTTGTTTAATAACTCTGGAAAGACATATTGCGCTGATGAAACTACTGATGTGTATGGAAAATGCTAGTTTTCTTAGAAAATTTGGATAACCAGTTTTTAACCCAAGAGGGTTTGTTAAGAGAATCATTTCAAGATCTGAGAATGTTCGGGAAAGCAATTAACCATAGGATCTCTAAAATATATTATTTTCGTTAAGAGTTAATACTGAAATTATTTGGTTAAGAAATTACGAAAATGCCCTTAAGAGGTAAAAATAGTCCGAGTTAACCCTGAATGAGAAAGTACTTTAAGGATTCGTACTTAACTCGATAAATTATAGATTTAATTGTTAAGATCCTGTCTTTGTACAGAAAATTCCTGATAACCTGTTGGTAACTTCTGAGAAGACAATTAACCTAAAAATCTCTGAGTTAAGAATAAATTATCGAGGGTGCTCTTTTGTCAGAATTGTTCGAAAGGTCTAGAAAAGATGATACGTTTGAATTAAATAATAAGATCATATGGAAGGAAAGGATTGAAATACACCAGATCTGTAAAATAACCAAAATACCCCTGTAATGGAAATGACCCAAGAATATCACCAAGCTCAGGAATGATTGGATATCCTCGAGCTCTGTAATGAATGAATAAAAATAAACACCAAAATGACCAAAATGCCTTTATGGTCTAGACTAATATGGTCTAGACTAAGTAAATGTCTTGGATTAATTAAGAAATCCAGATAAACATGGATGTTGTGCTGCTCTTAAAAGTTATGGAACACAACTTAAGTGGGTCAAACAAAGCTAGTGCTATATTAGTACCTAAATGGCATAAGTACCACTTGAATGGTTATTTGTCTCCTTGAGTTTGGATCGATGGTAATTTTGGAAGTACTTAGTTCAACTCAACTCTGGATCGCATTCGGTACTAAGAAGTGGATATTCGTTAGACAAATCAACCAAGAAGACCAAATTGAACTGAACGGAAGTACAATTTGTATCCGAAATTTAGAAATGTCCGAATTACTCTTGAAAACTCTGAAGTAATCGGGATAGACTTGATGTAACAGCCTCAATACGGGTTAGTGACTAAATTGTAAAACTTTAGAATTTGGTGACTAAAGTAGAATAATTGAATAATATTGTAATTTGGTATGGGGTCAAATTGAAAGAAGAAGGAATAGAAGGACAAAACAGTCATTGACAAGGGAAATAATTTAATTGTTATGGTTATATATGTTTCCATGTGGAGTGAAGAGAGAAACACATAAGCTTCCAGAGTTCTATTCTTATCTTCTATTCTCTACACATGAAGACTCATATCAAAGGTGAGATTTCTCATAAGCTGATTGTTAGTTGAAATTTAAGTTTGGTTTTGATCATTAAATGCTAATTAAGCTTAAGGAAAGTTTAATTTGCTTTAAAACAACAAGATGAAAGGTGTAGGAAGAATTAAAGGTTAGGAGTTCTTGAATGAAATTTTGAAATAAAGTTCATAATGAGAATTGGAAGTTGAATTTGACATGTCACCAACTTGATTTAGGGATATGAAGTGTTAGAATTAGATTTAGAACATGTTGGAATTTGAGTGAGATTCTTGAATTTTATATGGAGGATTGGATTTTTAAGTTTTAGAGGTATTGAATGGATAATAATTAGTTTAAGTAGGTGTATGCAAGTTAGAAACATAAAAGGAGGTGAAATATGAAGTGTTGAGAGGATTATGAAGGGATTTTCGTGCCCAAAATAACCTTTTAGGCTGTGTGCATCGCTACACATTCAATGTGTACCGATGCACTCTTATTAAATGAACATCGAATGCAATTAGTGCATCGATGCATGAGGAGTGCATCGATGCACCCCCTTAAAATACAAACATCGAATGAGATTTTTGTACCGATGAGTAGATAGTGCATAGATGCACACGTTAAGGGATGCATCAATACACTGTGTAGTGCATCGATACATACCTTTAGTAAGAGATGAAAAATAACATTTCTTTTAGTGTAAGAAGTGATAATTTGAAATATATCAATGTATTACTATGTAGATTTAGAGTGTAATCCTGTTCCGGAACAATCGAATGATTAGAATCGAGTCAAAGCAAGGCTAAGGCGAGTGCATATATCATATGAAATTGTATTGAGATAAGACTTGCAATGAGTCTATCTCTTATAGTTAAACTTATGATTTCACATTCATGTACATACATATTTATATATGTATTAATGCTATAGTGCTTTCATGCATAATTTATTCATGCTTTAATATGAACTTATTTAAATGAATACAATTATATGAGAATCCATTTAGGTATGGGAAATAATGAAAATAATTATGTGTACTTATATGAAGTGAATTATGTGTTTATGTGAAAAGTGATAGAAGAGATATGAAAATGAGAATTGTTTTATAATTAAGCCTATGTTACTTAATGTGAGAGCTGTAGGTATAATTGGCATGCCAAGAGTCGAGGGATTATCAGTGGTCCTTCGGGACATAGTGGTCCTTCGGGACAAATATTCAGTGCCCCTAGTGGGATTTTATTCGAGCTGTGGTGACGGCATTGTGCACAACCTCTGTGTACTCGCGTACCTTCTATTCTCAATAACGTACATGGGTGATCCAAAGATAAATTAAAGTGAAACTAGCATAAGAATACAAGTTTTATATATGTGCATATTATCATCATATATGTTATAGTGTAATAGATACATGTAAGTTGAAATGTCATGATCAATGGTAAGAATGCATGTTCATGGATTCATTGATATATATTGTTGAAAGCATTTTGATGTTTCGATATAAAAAATTAAATTAAAAGAATTTTAATTTTGAAAAAGATTTTTCTAAGCATATTCGATATATTAAATCGAATATCAAAATATTACTCAAAGTATTTCAAAGTTCATTTTAAATCCTTACTCAAGTGTAAAATTAAGTTTTAATCTTAAAATAATTTCAAAACGATTTTACAAAATATTTCGAACCATTTCAAAGCCAAAAATTCCAGATTGTTCAGAGGGAACCGATTCCCCCCAAGGGGGTACCGATTCCCTCCTGAATGGTTTGGCTCCAAGAATTCCAGTATGCTCGGAGGGAACCGATTCCCCCCAGGGGTATCGATTCCCCCCACTGTTCAACGGTCGAAATATTTGAATTTTACACTTAGGGAACCGACATGAGGGGTACCGATTCCCCCTACGCTCCAAGCAGAAATATTAATTGTTTTCACACTTAAACGACTACAATAACTTCATTAATGATCCCCAATGTTCAAAAGTGATTCAAGGTGTATTTAAGCAAGCTTAGAAGCCATTGATCAATAACAAGAAACATCAACCAACTAGAATCAAGAGAGAATCAAAGAGAAAGCATCAAACCTCAAGTTTGAGCATTTCAAGCCAATTTTTCATTCAATATTCGTTTTTATTTCAAGAAAACTTATTGTGCTCAATTGTATTATTCTTGAGTGTTCTTTTCTTTATTCTAGAATTGTGCAAACAATCTACCTTGTGAGGATTTCCTCGTAAGTTTGCAAATTTGTATTGTTCTCTTTGGGAGAGAGTGTTCTCAAGAATTTGGGGTATAATTCTTGAGGGTTTGTAAGGTTACTCTTTATCCACAAAAGAAAGACAAATTAGTGAATTTGTGGAAAATCCTTAGTGTGGATAGCTAAGGTAGTGGACGTAGACTTTGGTTGAGAAAGTCGAACCACTCTAAATCGCTGTGCAATTACTTTCAATTTTCTGCAAAAGCTTCCACCAAAATTTTAATTGCCAATTCACCCCCCCTCTTGGCCATATTCGTCGATTGATTACTCAACAATTGGCATCAGAGCTAACTCATTTGAAGGTGCACCTCTTGAGTCGATTCGGGAAGAGTTATATCGATAATCAAAGTCATCAATAGCCTCCGCTTCAAACTTTGACTCCGGTCTCGATTCGATGCCGTCAACAAGCCTCCTTTATTCAATGGGGCTAACTATGCCTATTGGAAAAATAGGATGATGTACTTCATTCAAGCAAGTGACATGGGAGCATGGAATGTCGTAGAAGAAGATACATCAAGCCTCTCACTCATCCAAGATTGTGGAGTGAAGGAGAGACAAAAATGTTCTAGCTCAACTCCAAAGCCATCCATATCATATTTTGTGCTCTTGGACCAGATCAATACGGAAGAGTTTCATCTTGTACAATCGCCAAAAAAATATGGGACAAACTTCAAGTCACTCATGAAGGTACCGATGAGGTAAAGAAATCTAAAATTAGTATTCTAATGCATAACTATGAAAATTTCAGGATGAAACCGAATGAAGATATCAAAACTATGACGGATAGATTCTCAACGATTGTCAATGGTCTCAAATCATATGGAGAGATCATTTCAAATGAAAAGCTTGTGAGGAAGTTAGTTTACTCCCTTCCAAAATCATGACAATCAAAGAAGACGGCAATCATTGAGTCTAAGGACCTAACATCCTTAACTCTTGAAGAACTAATCGGTTCCCTCCTCACTCATGAAATGATGCTTGAAGATGAGGTGGACCTCGATAAGATTGACGAGACACCAAAGGAGAAGGAGAAGAAGAAGAATAAAAACATTGGAGTTGCTCTCAAATCCACAAAAGATTAGAGTGATTCTAATGAAGATGACGATGATGAGGAAATGGCATTTTTTGCCAAACGGTTCAGAAAAATGATGAGACCTTACCAAGGAAGAAAATTCAAACGAAGTGAAGGCCTAAAAAATGAACCAAAAGAAAAGGACCCGATCATTTTCTATGAATTCAAAAAACCCGGGCATGTCAAATATGATTGCCCATAATTGAAGAGAAAGGGTCAATCAAAGAATAAGCACAAGGCTCATGTGGCTACATGGAGCGATGAAGAAGGTTCTGATGAAGAGGAACAAGAAGTAGTAAACTTGTACTTGATGGCATTTGGGGAAGATTCTAAGGTAATCTCTAACTCATCTGATTTTGATGATTTATCCTATGATGAGTTATTAGAGGAATATAATGGGTTAGCTTCGGATTATGAGAAATTGTTTCTAAAATATAAAAATGATGTTTCAAAATTGAAAAATGAAAATAAACTCATATCCAAAACCAACAACGATCTTGAAAGTAAAATCAAAGATTTACAAATCAAACTAGAAGAGTTTGAAAAGAAAAATTTGGATTTGCAAAATTTACTTTCAAAGGTCAATGATGATCATCAAAAGAAAATTGATGATCTTAAAGCTTCTTTTTGATAAAGTTGGAACAAAATGTTTTGAAAATGGAGAAAATTCAAAATCCAATTTTGTTAGAAAAAGTTTTAAAAACTACAATCATAGAGGTCCCCGAAAAACCTCTAATGGAAAAATCATTAGAAGTATATGGGTTCCCAAAGAACTCATTACTACTAAAAATAAGGATATCCTATATCAATGGATACCTAAGGGGACTAGGATTTTGGAAACTAATGAATATGGACCCAAAAGAATTTGGGTACCAAAAATTAGAAATTAATATATGTTTGTACGAAAAGGAGCATTGGTACAAGGCACGTGAAACAAATTCAAATTCATGGTACCTTGATAGTGGATGCTCGAGACACATGACCGGAGACAAAAGCCGGTTGGAGGAGAAGTGACTTTTGGTGATAATTCAAAAGGCCACATTGAAGGTATAGGTATAATAGGTAATACCTCTTCCATACAAATTAAAAATATGTTATATGTGAATGGATTAAAGCATAATCTCTTGAGTATTAGTTAATTATGTGATAAGGGATTCATTTGTCATATTTGAAACTAATGGTTGTAAAGTCATTGACATTGCATCTAATAGGATTATGCTTGTTGGTCATAGAATAAGAAACATATACATGGTGCATTTAGACTCTATAGAAATGACTAATTTATGTCTAGTTGCAAAGGATGAGCATGATAGTTGGTTTTGGCATAGGAGACTAGGACATGCTAGCATGAGTGTTTTGCAACAGTTAGTTCAAGGAGAATTGGTTCGAGGGCTGCCTAAACTAAAATTTGATAATGATAAAATCTGTGATGCTTGTGCTAAAGGAAAACAAAAGCGAGTTTCTTTTAAATCCATTAATGATGTGTCAACTAGTAGAGTATTACAATTGATCCATATAGATCTTTTTGGGCCAACTAGGACTACTAGCTTGGGTGGAAAAAAATATCCATTTGTCTTGGTAGATGACTACTCTAGATATACTTGGGTTCTATTCTTAAGTACTAAAGATGAAGCATTAGAAAATTTCATCACATTTTCAAAAGTAATCCAAAACGAAAAAGGTTACTCTATCACTAGTGTTAGAAGTGATCATGGCACTGAATTTGAAAATCTTGGATTTAATGAGTTTTGTAATTCTAATGGTATTAGCCATAATTTTTCAGCACCTAGAACCCCTCAACAAAATGGAGTTATTGAGAGGAAAAATCGAACTTTAGAAGAAATGGCTAGAACCATGCTTTGTGAAAATAATTTGCCAAAATATTTTTGGTAAATAGCCACAAATACCGCTTGTTATATTGTAAATCGAGTAATGATTAGGCCAATTTTAAAGAAAACTCCATATGAAATTTTCAAAAATAAAAAGCCTAACATTAGCTATTTTTATCCTTTTGGATATAAATGTTTTGTTTTAAACAACGATAAAAAAAACCTTGGCAAATTTGATGCTAAAAGTGATGAAGGAATTTTTCTAGGTTATTCCTTAAATTCTAAAGTTTATCGAGTATTTAATAAAAGAACTTTAGTTGTATAAGAGTCTATACATGTTGTTTTCGATGATAATCTCTTTCCGAGGAAGGATTCTTGTGTGAATGATGATGTAGGCATTATAAATGACATTAGACATGACGTTGGAGAACCATCATCAAAGGAAGAAACTAAAGATGAGGAAACTCATGATCCTCTCGAGAATCCAACCATTGAAGAAAGGGAAGTATCTTATCCAAGAGAGTACAACTATGTCAAGGATGGTGAGATTATAGGTGATCCATCCAAAGGGGTAACAACTCGATCTTTTCTTAGAAATATTTGTAATTATGTTGCATTATTTCATGCATAGAGCCTAAGAATATAAAGAAGCATTAAATGATGAACATTGGATTATGGCTATGCAAGAAGAATTAAATCAATTTGAGAGAAGTAAAGTATGGACATTAGTGCATTTTAAATGGTTTTAAAAAGAAGTGTATGTGGAACAACCTCCAGGTTTTGAAGATTCAAAATTTTTGGATCACGTTCTTAAATTGACAAAATCACTTTATGGTTTAAAACAAGCTCCTAGAGCTTGATATGAAAGATTGCCAAATTTTTTAATTGAAAAGGGTTTTTCAAAAGGGAAGATTGACACTACGTTGTTTTTAAAGCATAAAAGTAAAGATTTATTAGTAGTTCAAATCTATGTTGATGATATAATATTTAGTTCTACTAATGATGTTCTTTGCCAAGAATTTTCTAAGCTAATGCAAAGCGAATTCGTAATGAGCATGATGGGGGAGCTCTCATTTTTCTTGGGACTCCAAATCAAGCAAAGAAAAGATGACATCTTCATCAATCAAGCTAAGTACGTCAAAGATATGCTCAAGAAGTTTGGACTGGAAAATGGCAAACCTCATGACACTCCAATGAGCTCTTCAACAAAGCTTGACTTAGATGAAGGAGGTAAATGTGTAGATGTTAATATAGGTCAATGATTGGATCTCTACTTTATCTAACTGCAAGTAGACCGGACATTATGTTTAGTGTGTTTGCTTATATGCTAGATTTCAATCATGCCTAAGGAATCACATTTACTAGCTGTTAAGAGAATCTTAGATACCTTAAGGACACTCCTAGTTTAGGACTTTGGTATCCTAGAGACTCTAGCTTAAGCTTGCATGCCTTTTCTGATGTGGATTATGGAGGATGCAAATTAGATAGGAAAAGCACCTCCGGTACTTGCCAAATCCTTGGAAATATGATGATTTCTTGGTTTTCAAATAAACAAAATTGTGTTGCATTATCTACCACTGAAGCCGAATACATTTCAGCTGGTAGTTGTTGTGCACAAGTTTTATGGATGAAACAACAACTTTTGATTATGGAATTAAAGTAGGTACCATTCCTATCAAGTGTGACAATACTAGTGCTATTTGTCTCACTAAAATCCCATCCAACACTCTAGAACTAAGCACATTGAAATAAGACATCACTTCATTAGAGACCATGTCACTAAGGAAGATGTAGTTCTAGAATTTGTTGATACTTTGCATCAATTAGCGAATATCTTTACAAAACCTTTAGACAAGGAACATTTTTGGACACTTAGGAGAGAATTAGGTTTAATTGACCTATCTTCACTTAGTGTTTAAAATAATTTTAGCACTTTTAAGACTAAATGAAAAATGCTTATAAATAGTAATTTCTGATTACATTCATTACTATTAGTTAGGGGAGTTTATGATTCTTGATGAAAAATTAACTTTATGTTCAAATGTAGTTTAAGGATTAATTTGATTGATGAACATAATTAATTTTTGATATGAGTTACCAATACCATAGAGAAGATTAATTTAGCATTTTGAGTGTTTAAAATACAGATTTTTGAATTATAGGGCAGAGGGAATCAATACCCCCTTGAATGGGAACTGATTCCCCTTTTGAAGGGGAACCGATTCCCCATAGGGGAATCGATACCCCCTGGGGTTTTGGTTTTTAAATCGGGCAGAACCCCCAAAATGTTAAAACCCAAAATTCTCTTCTCTTGCTGTCGTTTCTACTCTCTACTCTCTTCTTATCTCCACTTTGCCTCAAAACAACGTTTTTAATCAGAATTCTCTTCAAATATCTCCTAAACCTACTAACATCATTAAAATCGTGCAAACAACATCAAAATCCACTCAATCTCATCTTTCAAGGTAAATTTTTAAACTCTCTATTCATCATTTGAACATAGGACTAGTTTTAATTAGTTCTAGATAGAAATAGTGATCGAACATTGATTGCTTAGTAATTAGAAACTAGATTTTACAACTAATTTCATCAAAAACACAAGAATCTTCCAATTTTTTTGAAATTTTCAAAATATAAAAAAAATCAAATTATTGTGTTTTGATTGAATTACGTTGTTGGTATAAAATACATATATTGATTTTCAAAACCTTATTTTTCAATAAGTTTTTGAAAACTTTGCCCATTAGGATTGGTTTAGAGAACCTTGAAATATTGAAAACTCAATTGAGTTTTGGGATTGATTGAATTGCATACATGTGTTTTCTAAATTGCAGGTTATCCATTCTATTCTGATTTCCTAAACCATGTCCAATCCTAAACGTGCTAGGTCATCATCTAGTCGCTCAAACCGTCAATCCAACCCACCTCCAAATCCTCCTCTTATTCCTGAAATTCCTATTCCTAATCCCGTTGATCCTAATATGACTATCCAAAACTCGTGCTTCAATCATCCTGGTCCTAGAAATCATCGTTTTTTGTATTATCAATATTTTGACTCTTACAAAATTAGAGAAGAACGTATCCCTTCTCGTCAAGCTATGATATATATCGATTTTAGATATCTTCCTCTTTTACATGAGTGGAAATTTGAT